AATTAACATATTTCCACTTAACTTTATATTTTGGTTTGTCTGATTACCTAATTTATAAATATTAAACTAATTAATTTGATCATTTCCTCAGAACCTAAATTATTTCTTGAATTGATATTTTTTACCTTTACTTGAGGAAACATGTTGAAATTATGCTTCTCTTACTTGATTACAGTTTCTGGGTACTTTACCCACCTCTGGTTAGCATAGCCACCAAAGACAATAGAAAAATGCTCTTTCTATAATGGAAAGTTATTTCTCTGCCATTAGCACATTTAGCAGTTAAACATGAGGATGATTGACAGCGCTAAGACCCTCCTCCCTCTGACTGGAAGGGTTTCCTTTAAGCTCTAGTGGCTTTTATCTGAGAGGTCGGACAGGAAGACGGGTAATGAAAGAGGTGAAGACATGACAAAGTCCTCAGGACCAGATTCAAACCTGTGACATCCACATTGAATGCTAAGGCCTCCATATGTGGGCCCAGGTTTACATGGTGACAGTTTTAACAAATGTGGAAAACACATTTTTTATAAATACTGAAACTTAAGCTAAAGGTGCTGAAGTCGTAAAGTTTATTTAACTCTAGATCTGCAACAAACAGAAACAAATAATTTCACCTTGATTTGATTTGTTCTTCTGTCGGTGATGTGAAATTCTGATGTCACTGTAAGAGATACTTTCCTCTCCAACTTCTGGGTGACCTAAAATAAAACACAATCATGATTTACTGTAATGTTTAAAGATTAAAATGTTTCAGTTTGTAAATGTTCATTTATATTTAAATAACAGAAAATGGATAAATAAATGTTTGTCTCACCTTCAGGTTTTCTCTGAACGCGTCGTTTCACCAGTAAAACCAGAATCGGCAGGAAAACCACAAGAATCACACATGACAGAGACACCAGGAGGTAGAGAACAAACTGGGAGGAAGATGAAGATGATGATGGAGGCAAAGAAGCGATTGGAGAACCAGAAGTGGGTGGAGGATCAGACCTTATTGATGGTTTCTCTAAAATAAAGTGATTTATTAAATAATTGCCCATTTTTTAATGAAAACCAAAGTTAATCTTTTCATCCTCTGACCTTCCACAGAGATCCTACTGGATGGAGACTCTCCCTGACCGCTGATGCTGCACTTATAGAGGCCTTCATCAGAGCTGGAGACATGGAGGAGGGTCATGTGACCTGATGGTCCATCACCAATGAAGGAGCCATCTTTATAGAAAGCAGCTGGGAGGTTGTGGGCTGGACTCTTTGCTCTGCAGC